ATACGATTCATGGTTTTATTGTATGGCATTTGATATTGTGGGTTTTTAGTAATAGTAAAACAAAAATTTTCTGGTTGCATTTTTGGGATGTTTCAACAAGAACATATAAACATCTTTCCATATGATAATGTTTAGGGTTCGAAATTTATGCTCAAAATAGGAAAAAAATCCATTTTTTAAAATTGGTTAAAACTAAGTTTCCAATATTATCCGATATAGAATCATACATATTCTTAATATCAACTTTGTGCATCTATTATGCTCTCTCTCATACACCACTTTTTGGTTGGAGTCTAATTGGAAGATTGAAGCAGATCAATCTAAACTTTCTGTAAGTCGGGGTCGGAGGCGTTAAAATCGATTTCGTAATGAGATGGATGTTCGTCATCCTGATGAATGTCGTAGATGTGAACGACGCCATCAACCTGAGCTTAATAGAAGAAATTACACATATCAATGTAAAAAGATTTAGATCATTGGGGCATGTGCCCCAACCTCCTTAAATCCTTCTTAAAATCATCCGGAACTTCTATTTTTACTATGTCTAATTTTCTATATGTCTAATTGTCTATCTATTTTTACTATGTCTAATTGTCTACATTATTCATATTTTACTTGTTGAACTTTGTCTTTATTATTTATTTATTATTTTTTTTTTTGTAGATTTTTTTTTTGTCTAACAGGATTTTTATTCAAACACACCATTTACTCCACTTTACCTTTCTTTGCAACAGACATTTTTTGTACAGAGAGACCGTATGCAAGGATCTTTAGTGTGGCCACGATAAAAAATTTATTTATTATTATTATTATTTTCATATCAAAGTTTTTTTTTTTTTATAAAAACAGTGCCCAATCTTACGGTCAAAGTTCGACCAAAATAATGTTGTTATTGTTTTATAAAAAACTACAAGCAATTTAAGCAATATAGCATATGTCAGCAAAAAGCCGCCACTTAGGACATAAAACTAATGTCAACATTAACCTTTTTTAACAAGAAATTTCAATCATGCCTCATGCGCTTACTTTTGGTCAAACTTTAGCTACAGTATACGTTTACTATTCTGCATCAATAATTGGCCCTTGAGAATCATAGGTAGAGGGATAAGTCTTAAAATGGAAACAGATTCCCAAAACTCGTAAACAACTATCCTTTTAAATCCCTAATCATAATATCAAGCATCAATTCACTCTTCTAGATAAAGCTTGATCTTATTACTGGTATGGATTGGGAATCTCCTTCAGATGCCATGCCATGGGTGGGATTGTATGTCAGCCTAGCATCTCTGGTGTGCACTCTTGCAATGGCAGCTGATGTTTTCCAAGGCTTTCGACAATGGAAGCTCTGGTTTCCATGCAGATTTTTCACCATCAACGCTGTTTCCATCACACTCATAGCAACAGCAATGAAGCTACCAGTGGATCTAACCACCGACGTATCTCAAGGTCTTGATACGACAGCAAAGTTTCTCAGCATCGTTTTCTTAGTCGCCATGTTAGCCAACTTTCTCCCTTCTTTAGGGCTTATGAACGACAAGGAACTTGTTATGAACATCGTAGCCTTGGGTATCCTCATCATCACCATTACTGTAAATGTTTGGATCCAAATTAGTACTACAACGCCTTTGACAATCCCAATACTGATTATTATAATGATATTTTCACTTCCATGGCCATTTTCAGTAGCTTTGACAGTTTCCGCATCTGGAAGAATTTTACAACATAAGTACAAGGAGTTGCATAGGTTGGCTTCAAATCATCAAGACATGAACATGAACATGAACTTTTCCGATAAGAGACTCATATGTTATGTTAAAAAACATTGGATGATGGCAGAAACTGGTAACCCTCAATTTGTAGTTGCGTGTTCACCTGTTTCTTCTGCTTTAGGAGTTATATGCTCAGTTCTTGTTTGCATTTCATTTTACTTTTTGATAACCCTGTTTGGTGATACGTCAAATTTGAAGTATGGAAGATCAGATTATAAGTGGTCAATCAATGTAATTGTCACCATACAATCAATCGGGACAATAGTAGGTAGTATAGCACCGATTTTTAGATGTTTGTCTTCCACCATTGATTTCAATTTCTCCAAGAAATGGATCAAGAATCATCTAAACGTGTTCAGAGTCGAGAAGCATTGGATCCAAAGGCTTCAGCATTGGAAACGCTGCCATGTTCGTTCACATATTCCAGGGCGCCATTGCAAAAAAGCTTTCCATAGCATCAAAAACATGATTTTGAACTTTTGCATAGGGATTCAGATAACGATTGTGATTATATGCAACACGATATGTCTCATTCCCAGATCTTTTCTTATCTTCTGCAAGTCATTGTTGAAAAGGTTTAAACAAGAACCAAATGCAGATACTAATGGCAATGTGATATCAGATTTGGATCAAGAATATACGCGTTATGTCCTACAAGTTGAAGTGGAGATGAAGCTTTCAAAGAGAATATTAAGAAATGCGCTCAACTCCATGACTCGACTTCTCCACGAGTCTGAAGAGAAAGAGCCAAGTAATCTGATCAAACTTCTCAAGAAATCTACAGGATTCCATGGAGTTTTGGAGTTCGATCGTGATCAAGTCCCACCTTTACATCAAGAAGAAACCAAGAATTGTTGGAGCCTAGTTGTAGTAACATTAACAGCCATTGCCATTTCCCTTCCTAACATTGCAAACATCCATGTGAAGGAGTTACTTTCCAGTATGAGAGAAGGGCTACAATTTGTAATGCATATAGAAGAAAGCCTCAATGTGAATAGTGACTTGGTAAAAGCAAGAAAAGCAGCTAGACGTATGTGGACAGATGTTGAGGTATACTCCAGGTGGCTACAAACTGATCTTCAAAAGAAAGCTCGTGAAGGAAGAACATCAAAGGATATTCTTCAGTGGTTGGGTGATGAAGCAATAAAAATTGTGAAAGAGTTCATGAGAAGAAAAAATGGAATTTTGGATCATTCACTTCGTAAGTTCATTGCTGCAAATTCCATGTATAGAATCAGCCAAACCATATTGCTCCATTGCAATGAGCAAGAAAATTGGCCAAATGATGAGGGAATTTTTGAGTTTATATCAACTATGATTGCAGATATGTTATCCGCTTGCTTTACCAACTTACCACGTGTCATAGCTATGAAGTGTCATGATGATGCAATAGAGAAAAGGGAAGAGAGTATCCGGACTACAACACGGCTTCTTGGTAAGTCCAAAAAGATGCTTAAGATCCTTAAAATGCGCCAAGTTCCTAACTTAGATTCGGACTCCATGGCCTATGTTGATAAGTGGCATGCATTACCCAAGAGTCACATACACAATTGTTGTTCTCCTTCAAAAAGGATTCAATTACCGGCTTCTTTAAGTTTTAATCAATCATTTTTAGTAACTATTATGTAGTCTGTGTGTAGATGAAATAGTTGAAATTTTGTTATATTGAGAATAATGTAAAATTACATTGTTTTATATTAGGATTTGTGGAGTTTACTTTAGGTATTTGTATGTATAGATGATTGATAGTGGTGGATACCATCCATTGTGTACTATATATTTTTTTAAGGTTGGTAATTTTAATAAACTTTGGTTGAATGAAAACAAAATGCCTCTATATGTGATGAGATTCAACATAATGTCATTAATTTCGTTTTTATAGAATACAATCATAATAGATTTATTTAAGGATATTCACAAAAGAATACATGATTATTGATCATTTAATATAGTAATATTTTTTTTTTTTGGTAGTTATCAAAATGACTATAATGTCCAAAATATTGTATTTCAGACTAACATAATTTTGTTTGGGAATGTCATTTAGAGATATAAGATATGTCATAAAGAGTTTTGGGATATGATATTTCACACCTTACATTTCATATTCCCCTTATATGACACATACATTTGGAAATATTACATTTTGGGCTCTGAAATACTAGGCATCAATTGGAATCTAACAATTTTGTTAAGAAACTTAACAAAATCGAAGTAGATTTTAATACGATGGCATAAAAAAGTGTTATTTATTTGAATACCCAGTAATAATATACATTTTTGGATGTAAGGACTTGAGATAATTTTTTGCAAGTGTTTAAGGCAAATGAGATAAACTTAGAAATTATATACATTCAAAATCCGAAATGGACCCATTCTTGACGTGGTCGTTATTTATGTGAATCCCAAAAATTAGGCCATTTACTTAAATACTCAATAATTATGTTGTATTTTTGTTAACATCCATTAAATTTGGATTAGCAAAGTGAAAATAAAAGAAATAATAGATTAAAGCTGCAGATTAAGTAATAGTTGAAGGACCAAAAAGTATAAAAAGATATAGTTCAAGGTTATTTTTAAAATCCATTCTTTTTCTACCACATGTTGCAATTTGCTATGCAGGATTACAAGTGTCACACCGTCACCGCTGTGAGTTATCGGTTTAGAAAAGTGCCGCAGCTGCATGCTCTGTACGCAACCCTTCGTTCATGTTCAAATTCTGAAACCCAAATTAAGGATTAACCCTCGAAATCCTTCAAGATATTTGTGGGTAAAATTCCCCCCAAAAAGCAGAGATGAATGCGATGACATTGCAAGTTGTATCCCCTGTTCCAACAGACATAGACATCGCAAATTCCATTCAACCTCAACACATATCCGCCATTGCCAAAAAGCTCAACCTCAATCCAAATCATTACGATCTCTATGGAAAATACAAGGCCAAGGTATGTGTTTTAGTTTTTGTGTTTGATTTCAAGTTGCCCCAATCTCTATAGTAATGCACTCTAACTCAGTATTTGGATATCGAAGTGAATTGATTCATGGTTTTCCCCATTCAATTGCGATAACTAGGGTTTAGTCTTGCTTCAAATCAGATGTGGATTTTTACTTAATCACTGAATTAATTGGACATTGGTCATGGGTTTTAAGTTAATCAACCATTTCACCGATAGATTCACATTACAAATTCCTTCATCTGCTTGATAATAGTATCAATTTTGCATCTGAAATCGGCCATAACTGAAGCGTTAATGATGCCATGATTTGTTTTAATGAAAATGTTAGGTTTTGTTGCCTGTGATTGATGAACTCAAAGGACAAAAAGATGGGTTCTATGTCGTTGTCGGAGGAATAACACCAACTCCTCTTGGAGAAGGCAAATCCACCACTACTGTTGGCCTCTGTCAAGCTTTGGGGGCTTTTCTTGATAAAAAGGTATCACTTTTAACTTTTAGTTATTTCCTGCTATTTTCCCTTAATCTTATTGTTATTGAAATGTATTTTAGAAAAAAACACTTATCAATTATCATTCTTGATTGTCACCGGAGGTGTAGGTGGTGACCACCCTAAGACAACCATCACAAGGGCCAACATTTGGCATCAAAGGCGGTGCAGCTGGCGGTGGTTACAGTCAAGTGATCCCAATGGACGAATTTAACCTCCATTTAACCGGCGACATCCACGCCATCACTGCTGCAAACAACCTCTTAGCCGCCGCCATTGACACCCGAATGTTTCACGAGTCAACACAATCCGATTCCGCCCTTTTCAACCGCTTATGTCCACCAAACAAACAAGGTAACCGAATCTTCAATGATGTCATGTATACGCGCTTAAAAAAACTCGGTATACACAAGAAGTTTCCGGAAGATCTTACACCGGAAGAAGTCAAACGGTTAGTGAGGCTCGATGTTGACCCGGACACGATTACATGGCGTAGGGTTATGGACGTAAATGACCGGTTTTTAAGGAAAATTACAGTCGGACAAGGGGTGGATGAGAGAGGGATGGTGAGAGAAACGGGGTTTGATATTTCGGTTGCTAGTGAGATAATGGCGGTTTTAGCCCTAACCGATTCTCTATCCGACATGCGGGCCCGCCTCGGGAAAATGGTGATAGGGAATAGTAAATCTGGTGAGCCCGTGAGTGCGGATGATCTTGGCCTTGGAGGGGCGTTATCGGTATTAATGAAAGATGCGATAAACCCGACGTTAATGCAGACGCTCGAAGGGACCCCGGTTTTTGTTCACGCGGGACCGTTCGCTAACATAGCTCACGGGAGCTCATCGATTGTGGCGGATAAGATCGCGTTGAAGTTGGTGGGGCCCGGTGGGTTCGTGGTTACGGAAGCAGGGTTTGGATGTGATATAGGGGTTGAAAAGTTTATGAATATAAAGTGTAGGTATAGTGGTTTGAGACCTCAATGTGTTGTTATTGTGGCGACTGTTCGGGCTCTTAAGATGCATGGTGGTGGACCGGCGGTTGCTGCCGGGAAACCGCTTGATCGGGCTTATGTTAGTGAGAATGTTAGTCTTGTGGAAGCCGGTTGTGCCAACCTGGCGAGACATGTGGAGATTGTGAAAGGTTATGGGGTGAATGTCGTTGTGGCGGTGAATAGGTTTTCGAGTGATACGGATGCGGAAATAGCGGCGGTGAGGGCGGCGGCATTGGCGGCTGGTGCTTATGAGGCGGTTGTTTGTTCTCATTTTGCACATGGTGGAAAAGGAGCGGTTAGTTTGACTCCTAACTTGTAACTCCATTGTAGACTTACTGACTAGACAAACTTTCTAGGGTTATTTTCGATGATAAGGATAGTATTCGCGTCTTTTGCATTGACGAAATATCAAGAACGGGTTTCTTCCCCACGTAGTTCCATTTTTTTTGGGCGAAACAAAAAATTGCAATTTTGTCCCATTGACATCAAAGTCACCCAATGCACGCCAAACATAATACAACCCCTTATGTCATGTCCTGTGTAACAAGATATGACGACATTGTACTGTGTTTGGTGTGCATCGGGTTGAGTCTGTGACTGCTGTCAATGGGACAAAATTGTAAATTTTTGTCCTACCGAAAAGGTGAAACAAGGTGGGGTGGACACTCGTTCTCGATATCTCATTTGTGCAAAAGACATGAATGCCCTTTTCATCCTCGTCGTCGAAAATAACCCTAAAAAGATTGTCCAATCCGATGTAACAAACACAAATATGCATCATCGTAATTTCCTCATGCGATTTTACCAGATCGACCTTGGCGTAGTGGTTCAAAAGGCCTGCGAAAATGCAACCGAGCCTTTCAAATTCTTGTACCCTTTGGATGCAAGCATCAAAGACAAGATAGAAGCGATAGCAAGATCATACGGTGCCAGTGGCGTCGAATACTCCGAGCAGGTAATTAATTCGATACATTTCATTTGTGTTTGACCTCGAGGGGCAAATGTGTAATTCACTTGTGGGTTTTCTTATAGGCCGAGAAAAAGATCAAAATGTATAGCAAACAAGGGTTCGCGGGACTTCCAATCTGCATGGCGAAAACTCAGTACTCATTTTCCGATAATCCAGCAGCGAAAGGCGCGCCAAGTGGATTTGTGTTGCCAATTAGGGATGTGAGGGCGAGTATTGGGGCTGGATTTATTTATCCATTGGTGGGGAGTATGAGCACGATGCCTGGGCTTCCTACTCGACCTTGCTTTTATGACATCGATCTTGATGTTACTAATGGAAAAGTAAAAGGGCTTTCTTGAAATTTGTGTATATTCGGTTAATTAGAATTTTAATCGTTTAAACTGGGTGTGTTATAGTTAAAAGACAAAACTGCAATTTTGGTCTTCGTGGTATTAAAAAAACTTTGGATAGATCCAAAAAGTTTCCAACTTGCATGGATGTTCAAAAATCAAAGTTTTCCTTTGGTTTTGGTCCTGAAAATGTTGAAATGTCTATTTTACCCTTATTATTTCTTTTTTCTATTTTTCTATTTAGTTTAGTATTTAAAAAATTATAAAATAAAATATCACCCTACCCCTCTCCACGACTCCACTCACCGTACATCTCACACACACTCTCTCTCTCTCTATGGCTCTCTTTCTCTCTTCTTCGTATTCTTCTTCTTCACCTGCAAATCAAAAAGAAAAAAAAACCTTGATTTTTTGCTACATATTACATTTCTTCTTCTTCATCTGCAAATCAAGAAGAAAAAAAAACCTCGATTTTTTGCTACAGATTTCTTCACCTGCAAATCAAGAAGAAAAAAAAAACCTCGATTTTTTGCTACAGATTACACGCACAAAGAGACCCCCAAAAAACATGATTCTTCAATTTCTTTTGCCCACCGTCAAGAACCAACTCCTATTCTTCAGTGATCAAACACAAACACCCTATTTTTTAATCTCTCTCTCTCTCCCTCTCTCTCTCTATCTCTCTCGTGTTTCTCCCAAGCCCTAGATTAGTTTTCCCTCTTCGCTGTTATCGCAATTGAAGGTGGTAGTCGACTGCATCTACATCTTTCTTCTTTACTTCCCTTAATTTTTCCCAAAATAGAGAGTTGAGCGGGGGGTTCGTCTCCGGTGAGATTTCCCAACAAATACAGGAGGAAGAGGATACAGGTCGATGCTGAATATGGAGTAAATATGAGGGAGGACATGTAGTCGGCGGTCATTGTACCTCTCAATTTGGAAGAGCTGAGAAATCAAACCCACACAAGACCCTGTCTCCCTTATTTGGTGTATGCAGATCTATAACCATCTATCTTCATGTACCATTAATCTGGAACACATCAATTCTTCATCATCTAGATAACCAGCGTCGTTCGAGAAGTCCATTGTGTACTACCTTCATGTACCACCGGAGACAACCTCCCTAGTCTTCGTCTCTCATCCAGTCAAATCAATTATGACTTCCGATTGATTTATCTATTTTCTAAAATGAACTAGAAACAATTGACTTTCAAACCATTTGGAAACAATGGATGTTCTCAAAATCAAAATGATAAACTTTGGGTGTGTCTCTATTTATTTGGATTTAGGTGAAATGGAAGGTGGG